ATAAAGAAAAGTAACAATAAGAGTCTATAATAAGATAAGACGATAGGAATGATGAAAAATTTAATTAGTCCGTCAGTTAGGTAAATAAAGAAATATTAGACAAGTATTTTTTAATTTATCGTATAATAAAACAATACTTAGATAAAACGAATCAAAGTTTAGGAATGTGATGTAGCTACGTCATTTTAGAGTATAAATCGTCCTCAAAAGTAACGTCATGCGATATTTCAAATCAATATATCTTCGAAACTATTCGTTTCCGTAAGAAAAAACGTGTCTAATATTTTTAAATAATCTACCAGACGGACATTGAAATAAACATTAGTTGTCTATCCTATACCAAAGACATGTAATAAAACACTATATTAGGTACAAATATGAAGGTACCAATAAATAACAATTATTCCTAACTATTAACAATATAAGCAAAACGAGCTTCAAGTACTAAGAATTTGTAATATAGAAGACCTCAATATGTTTTATGATATTGCTAAACTTTCTAGTAAATTAATGAAAACTATTAATAACCAAGAGTTTAGTAGTAAGGAGATTTCTAATATAAATTAAAACCGAGGCTAAAGTAAGTTAAACTTCAAGATTACAGTAATAAGTTGTGATACCCGCAGCAAAGAAGTATTAAGATAGTTAAATAAGCTAATAATCTAATAGAATATGAAATAACATACCATAACACCGTTTGTCCCCGAAGGGCAGAGGTGTACATTACGGCATGCCACTGTACAATGTAACACCCAATTTTCACTATTTATGTTGTGAGTCACATGTAATAGGAGGTGAGCCTATTGCCATATATTGGGCACAATTCCTGACTCCGTGCTACTACTGAGAATTTTTTAAAAACCCAGTAAAATTTTGCCCGACTTGGATTCGAACCTGAGACCCCTTGCCCGGTCGCACTTGCGATCACTCGGCCAACGAGGTAGCAGAGAAATTCGAAAATAACAAATATTTTAACGCAGCGTTCCACCGATTGTTGTGTGAAGCTGCCCTTATATATATATCCAATAAATACAAGAGGCTGTCCACAATGCTTTCTTTAAATAAATTGGCTGCTACTCTACTTTGTGCCTTCCCGAAATATATTTAAAGCTGATTATAGGAAAATATACATTTGTCGAAGTTAATGCGCGTTGACTTTTGCATGCAAACGAGACATGAGAAAGGAAAGCTGTTTTCCTATGTATTTATTTTCTTTGAAAATTTTCAATGAAATGAATACGTCATTTTGTTATTTCATCGATGTTTGAAGCCTTTGTGTAATGTATGAAACGCAAGGTTGCTACATTATTGAAATTATAAAATACGCCGTTACTTTATTATGTAAGAAACATTGACTGACTGCTATGACTGCCTCGCTGGCCGAGTGGTCGCAAGTGCGACTGCCGCTGGGCAGGGGGTCTCGGGTTCAATTCCCAGGTCGGGCAAAGTATGACTGGGTTTTTTTTTTAATTTTCTCAGTAGTAGCACGGAGTCTGAAATTGTGCCCGGTATATGGCAATAGGCTCAGCCCCTATTACATGGGACTCATAACATAAATAGTGAAAAGTGGGTGTTACATTGTACAGTGGTATAATGTGCACTTATGCTTACCCATTCGGGGATAAAAGGCGTTATGTCATGTTATAATATCAACAAATCATGATCACGAAGAATAGAATGAAATGTAATTTTGTGTAGAGAAAATTGACAGAGTAAATTAAGAATATATAACTTATATTACAATGACATATGAAACCATATGCCATTGAAGAAATAAGTAATAGAATTTTCTATTACAAACTTCTTCATAGACAGATTCCAAAAAAACTAGGCGCTTAGTGGTATAAAGGATACCCCGTTATAAAAAAAAATATGTTTTAAATGTGCACTCTCACAAGACAAACGAGTGTCTTAAACTGTCAAACACCAAGCGGTCACCGGTGACCGCAACCTATTGTTCTATAATTGTGTCTACAAAACCGGTACTCGACGAGTTAAACCTCTGGAACATAACTGTCGACATTAATATTATTGCTAGTACCTAATGATCATTATAATATGACATTTGTGCAGTTAATTACATTCACAAAGTAACCCACTCGTGCTTCATAATTAATTATATGAAACAAATCTAATGTTATATAATTTCAGCTGTAATTCAGTACTACGAATTTGTTGGCGAACATTTATAGTGGGCGATCATTGAGGATTGAATAATGAGACTCGTGTGAAGTTTCAAATGTGTGGGTATCGGTGTAAATGTTATTTAAGTTATAATATAGCTCATTTATCAGGAAAACCTTCCATTGTAGGTCATTGTGGGTGAATCAAGTACTACCATCATCATCAACAGCCTATAAGTGCCTACTGCTGAGCAAAGCGTCTTCTCACACGGAGAAGGGTTGAGCATTAATCACCAATGCGGGTTGGCAATTACAAACTTATAATTAGAAGTTATAAGCCCAGGTTACCTCACGATGTTTTCTTTTACCGTGTGTCAGTGGTGTCTAGATCTTAGAAAGTATATATTGGTACTTGCCGTTACTAGGTTTCGAACCCGCATTCTCATGCATGAAGTTTTAAACCTCCGAGCCACCACGACATCAAGTAGGTACCATAGTGAAAGCCATTATTTTATCTGTATAAACTACGTTTAAAAACCGACATCAATATCCTATTTTTGGAGGTCGATTTATTAATATACTAAAGCAATTATTGTTCAAAGCAGTTGACCGTATCAAAATCGGTTTAGCCAATAGCGAAACAAGTGAATTTATTTCTGCAAATAGGCTACAAGGCAGCACTTTTATACGTCAATTTTATCAAGCGAACGATGAGGCCGACATTTCCTAACTGACTACTCTGAGACGAAATGCCGAAACAAACTCAGAGGTCCGTCTCTTTTAAAGTCCAAACTAATGTGTATAAAGGATAATGTGTGAGAAACGTACAAGTTCTTTCTTTCAATTGCGAGATAGTTGCACACAAACATATAACATAGGTACCATTCATACAAAAGTAGTCTATAAACATTGGAAATAAGGTCTATAATGTAGTTAGTGGAGAGCGGTCACCGGTGACCGCTTGGGGGGGGATATATGGGATGCAGGTCTAACTGACAACCTTCTTCTTTCTTTGGAGTCGGTTAAAAAAAAATAATGATAAGCCCCGAAGGGGTAAGCAGAGGTGCACATTATTGTAGCCCATTACAGACTACGCGCTATTATCTACTAATTTTTTTCCAAAAACAAAAAGATCGAATAATATTTCACCCGAAGGATAGAATCTTTTGCTCAGAATTAAATCTTTTACATGATTTGTGGATGAATTGCCTTACCCCTTTGGGAACTGTCATACTATATGGTGATATTTTTTAAACAATACTATATTAAAAAGAAGAAATATTTTCCTAAAAGCAGATAGCAAAGTCGGTTTTCTTCCACGATTTCAAATATCCGGGTCACAAGAAATTTTATCTTAAGTTTCAAACTCGATCTATATTTAATATTGAAATCGTAATTTACGTTTCAGTTGACTTTTTAATCTTTTGCGGAAAATAGATAGAGGGTAATGCCCTTGTAGGAAGTTAAAATACCAGTTTAAGGTTTTAAACTTTTAACCTCAAAAATGTATTGTTACAAGTAAAATCCTTATCCTTACTTCCTTATCCTTACTAATATTATAAATCTGAAAGTGAGTTTGGTTGTTTGTTTGTTTGTTCCACCTTCACGCCGTAACTACTTAACCGATTGCTTTGAATTTTTGCAGACGTAAAGTTAGAAGTCCGGATTAAATAATAGGGTACTTTTTAACCCGGAAAAAATTGATATTCCCGAGGAAAAACAAAAGTATTGGTATAGATGGCGCTGTGTGTATTGGTATATGTCACATAGGCTACTTTTTATTCTTTTGTAACGCGAGCAAAGCCGCGGGTAAAAGCTAGTTTTAAATAATATAAATTTTTTTGAGGGTGGAAAATCATCCAATGACTTCTCCCGCCTTGGAGTAGGCGAGAGGAAGTGTCAGACTCTTACTGACCAAAAACCACCAATATGTATGTATAATTAAATTACATGTACAAAATAATAATTATGGAATCTAGTACCCACCTTCGCATCAACAGCCTATAAGTGCCTACTGCTGAGCAAAGCGTCTTCTCACACGGGAAGGGTTGAGCCTTAATCACCACGCTTACTCAATGCGGATTGGCGATTACAAACTTATAATTAGAAATTATAGCCCCAGGTTTCCTCACGATGTTTTCCTTCACCGTGTGTCAGTAGTGTCTAGATCTTAGAAAGTACATAAAACTCGGAAAAAGTCATATTGGTACTTGCCCTTGGTAGGTTTCGAACTCGCACTCTCAAGCATGAGAAGCGGGCGTCTTAAACCTCCGGGCCGCCTACATAACCGAAAGGATAAAGAATTGACATTCATTCACATAAAATTTCTACATTTTTTGTGCGATAAGTACCAACCTGATGTAAAAAGTTTACTCACACACTAATAAAATAAAAAAAAAAATTAAAAAAACAGCTGCACGCAAAAACATTTAGCGTAAAGAACACCAAACGAATGGTCAACATTTTTCATTCGGTTCTTATTTTAAACTTTTACGTTTTATTTTGACAGTTCGATTATATTTCTACTCTAACGATGTGATCCATCACGTACTGAACGTGTAAACGTTAAAGATCGCTTTAAACGATCTTTACCGTCATTTCAGTCAACGGCCCGATCGTTTTAGTGTTTGTATAACCTTCGTTCCACGTTGAGATTTTTACACGCGAAGAAATGATGGCTAGAACTTTTTTCGAACAGTTGCTTCCAGCTAATCAGCCGCCTTGTTTCCCATGGAACAATAGGTGCATTCGCTGTAAAAGCCTTCTTCGCTTTTAGCCCGGATTATCTTTATTCCCGTACCATGCGCATTACTCCCATTTCGCACTGTCTACGAGTTGTGAACTCCAGTCTATTCTGTGAGACTCGGCCGCGTGGTCGCCTCCACACTCGAGCGTCAGAATGTTCGCAACTTTGAACGCAGCGAGTCACCGGTAAAATAACGGACAATATTCCATGGTTTTCTAAATTCAAAATTATAGAATTATTGTCTTAGTATTTGAAAATAAAGAGTTCTTCTTTTGTTTTTAAAAAAAATAATAATAGTGATGTGCGTGTGTGATTTTTGTGTCTGTGAAGTTTATTAAAACTTTTTCATAATAATAATAATAAAAGTTGATAAAATTGAATGTTACAAAAAAAATATTTGGATTCAAAATTGCGTATGAATATTAATTAAAGGCAGGTACTCGAAACGCTATTTTGGTTGAAGTGCGGAAAGTTTGTTGGCTTTAGATGATTTATGAAGCGGACGACATCGTGGACGCGACAGTTCGGAAAATTTTAATGCTTCGGAACTGACGTGACTTTCGGTAAGTAATAAATTCAGATGGGCTTGAAATTAATTGATTTAATTATGAAGGCATTGTTCTGTTATTATACATGAAATATATTTTAATAAAATTACGAGAGTATATGTTGTTATTGTATCACTTTTACATACACATTTTAATAGAATGTTGTGCCTGTTTGTATGTACTCGTTACATTACGTTCTTTATGGGCTGCAATAAATAAAATGCTCCGGTTGATAGCCTAACATATTTATTGTTCCAAACAAATTAATGTCGACATCTCTTTGTATCACTACATACACCATAAACCAGTCGAAACTTGAAAACAGATGCTTAATAAATACTCTACCTATGATGTAGACTAAAATATTCCAACAAAAAAAAAGCATTTTACTCGGTACACGGTTTAGGATGTAAGGCTTGCACTTGGCCTCGTTTGCTGGCTGTTAGTACAAGAAAATAAAAAAGAAAACCATTTCTTGACACGCAATAAAACTAAAAAAAAAACATTACGTTTAAGAAAAATACCAACTAAATATTAATAATCTGTTATATAATTAGACAAACGAACAACACTATAATAATATATTTTAAAATTACAACTACAAAAAATGTCCAAATATTTATATGCTTAAATATTTTTTGCAATAAGCATTGTATTTTGTAAGCGTGTTTGCATAATAAATCTTAATTAATCAATCAATAGAGTTTAATTTTCAACACAAATGTGCTTAACAGACACAGACAACGGATTTACCAAAATAAATACAAGTTAGTTTTCACTTGGTTGTTGACACATAACTTAACATCACGACTTTAACCCCTAAGGGAAAGGCAGAGGTGCACATTACGACACTTAATGCCATTGTACAATGTAATATTTTCCACTATTTATGTTATGAGTCCCATGTATTAGGGGGTGAGTCTATTGCCATATACCGGGCACAATTCCAGACTTCATGCAACTACTGACATTTTTTTTAAAACCCAGTAATACTTTGCTCGACCTGGGAATCAAAACCGAGACCCCTCGCCCGGCAGTCGCGACTTGCTACCATTCAGCCAACGAGGCAGTCAATATCAATATCAATATACTATTATGTACTACGCTCTTTGCTTTTTTAAAACTGATAACAGTAACCGACATTAACGAAAGAACTATCTTCAACAGTTTTTTATTGACAAGTCAAAGATAGAGGGGAAAATTGACATGATTCTGTATCACCAAAGAACTTTTTCATAAATACGATAACCTTGACTGGATCAAGTTCAAATAAAACCTTCAATTATGACCTAACCACAAGGTCGAAGCGACGGAAGTCTAAAATAATTATGTATCAAAGAAATGTTGCAATTGATTACACAAACATTTTTTCTTGGAAAAATGTTTCAGTTAGTTTAATGTTTGATAAATTTAAATAGGAAAAATATTACTTTAACAAATACTTCATTTCGAATCCGCGAGTCACTTAAGGGGCCAGTTGAATACCAGCGCGAGGCCTTGTCTTGCACATGCTGAACTGGTCCCATATCACAGACTTGGGACATTAGTAGATCATAACATAACATCACGCCTTTTATCCCCGAAGGGGAAAGCAGAGGTACACATTATGCCACTGTATAATATAACACCCATTTTTCACTATTTATGTTATGAGTCCCTCAGTCCCATGTAATAGGGTGTGAGCCCTATACCGGGCACGATTCCAGACTCCGTGCTACTACTGAGATTTTTTTAAAACCTTTACTTTACCCAACCCGGGAATCAAACCCGAGACCCCTTGCCCGGCAGTCGCACTTTCGACCACTCGGCCAACAAGGCAGACATTAGTAGATAATATATATTTTAAACTTATGTGTAAAATCTATATATGATTTATATTAGCGTGTAAAATAAAGTTCTTTTTCTTTCTTTCATTTTTTAAAGCGTTTTTTATAGTTGTCACATCACCAACTTCATTTTTTTATGTGTCGACATTTTTCATGTGTGGTCGACATTTACTACTCACTATCTGACCTGGTGATAACCGGTGATGCGGAGTATGATGGAGAACAATAAATCGTTATCTCTGATATTCACACAGCTTCACAACCTCGCCAGTGGACTATAGAGGGATTTAAAAAAAATCTCAGTTATAAAAGGTATTTTTTTTTAAGGGGGGAAAATCATCGAATGACTGCTCCCGCCTGGGTGAGGCGGGAGGGAGTGTCAGACTCTTACTGACTAAAAACCACCCCGTTCCTTCTCCTGCACGTCGAGTCGGAGCCCCGGTTACCCGTTAGGATCTCCGCGACCTAACGGGACCTAACTAATATACCTAGTTATAAAAGGTATAGACTCTGGAATTGATGCAACGCGCGACGAAAAATGAATGTCACTTCTTAAAATTCGGGATTAAAATTAAAAAACGTAACATGATTTACTTGCGTGATCTTTATACAAATAATAAAACCTCTTTTGAAAGTATTGAAGCAAATAAATATGAATTATCTTAACTAAATATTTTTCCAAAGCCTTTGGCTACAACGGAAAACCAATAAATCGACCAATCATTTTCATTTCCCATAGGAAGTGGGCAAAGATTGTAATCAAGTAAATTGTATCAATCAATGTCATTTCTCGTGGTTGTTCGCTCGGTACAATGATTGGGGGTGACAGATAGTTACCTGGGGCAAGCTGCACGGGTTTTTAAGTAATTATATTTTTATTTAAAGTATTTAGGTGCTCCCTAACATGCAGCACTCACGTGTAACACAACATTCTAGATTCGACTTTGAGTATTACATTACAATAATACCTCCCTGACTAACGAGCATTTGTGTGTAATGTTACTTATAGATTCGACTTTGAGCATTTCATAGCAAGATGTCAAACATTGATGTTACAAGTTGTATCAAGATATTACACATTGTACCATTACAAGGTGCGCATTGTAATGCTCGGTTCTCCTCCTTCACTGATGTAATGCTCAGATCTGTAACGTTACATTACACGCGAATGCTCCCGGTGAGGGAACAACTTTAAATTTCTTTGTTCCTTTAACATTAGAATGTTGATTTCGTAAGCAGTAGTTATTACTTCTACTATAATTTCTTTATTTTCCTTCTTCGTTTGCATAGTTTTTATATCACTTCTTTGTCAAGTTGGTTAACCTATAATTGGCGACTGTATAAGCCCAATATTTATTGTTACCTTCGTTATTTCCTAATGCTACTTATTGTTATAAAAGCTGTTGGTATAACTATTTAAATAAATATTTTTTTTTTGAAATATTTTGTGAATTTGAAGTTTTTATGATGTTGTAACTAGATTCTGAGTACTAAGTTCCCTAAAACCTAAATCTTTTTAACTAGGACCGTCGACCTGGCTAAGGGCAATCAAGTATGGAAATTAAGGCAAACCCTTTATGTAAAAGGACACCCATCACCCACAGCATAACAGTGGGACCTTATAAACTACGACCTTCAACCCGACTGCCAAGCTCCATGCTCTTGGACGTAGGCAAATCCCATCTAAAGGCCTAAATATATCAAATCAATCTACCTATCTAAATCCTATCTACCTATCTAAAGGCAAATCCTATCTACCTATCTAAAGGCCAGACTATAGCTGCAGTAGATTATTACAGGCTTGTAGCCAGACTTGCCGTAATAATTAACAGGCCTTGATATCACAAATACGATTCATCAAAAACTATTTATTAGTACGGTTCTAAAAATAGTTTAATTAATAAGAATCACTGACTGAAAGGGTATTTTTAATCACGATCTTGTAAAAGACGGGACGAGGCCGCGAGCAGAACTAGTGTCCTAATTACCCACTCGTGCCCGGTTCAAAGTGTGAATTTGTTTTATATTAAACTGCCCTTTAGTAACATCTGAACTATTAATTAAACTAATATATAAAGCTGAAGAGTTTGTTTGAATGCGCTGACCTCAGGACTACTACCTACAAACTAAATATCAAAGTGTGGGAGAGCAATACTTCGGCACGAATGGTCCGGCTCGACCGGAGTGATACCACGGCCTCACAGAATACCGACGCGAAACAACGCTTACGTTTTGTGAGTGAGGTTACTGGAGGCCCAATTATGCACCATTCCCAATATCCCCAATTCCCGAATCCCAAAAAATCCTCAAATTCCTAATACCCAAAAAGCAGGTAACGTACTTGTAACGCCTCTGGTGTTTCAAGTGTCCATGGACGGCGCCGATTGCTTACCATCAGATGATTCGTCTTATTACGTTCGACTACCGGCTTAAAAAAAATCATTCTGCGATCAATAAGATCCGAGTAGCGGGTGAAAGCGAACGAGAACGGCTAGTTATACCTCTAGTGTATTTTTCTGTTACCTTTAACACTTTACTTACTCTCTACACTCGAAGTAAATTTCACTTGAAACATAAAAAATCATAAATCATACTCGATGTTATTTGTTATTAATTTGCACCTATTACAAAATTGAACACATCAATTGCCACGAAGCTGTAATATAATAACTAAATTGGATAAACCTAGACATATTTTATCTGACTCATATGTTTACAATGTTTACAACTTGGCAATTAGAGAAGAATTAATGCTAAAGTTAGACTATTTATCCAGATATAGAACCAAACATTTACCTTCAGAAAAGTTTTGAAGAAAAATATTCTAACATCGTTTGCTAGTAGTACCCCATGGAGTTTTACGTGCTAAGTGCTATTGTAAGGTCGTTAACTGTAGGTATAGCCCGACACACAGCGGGAGGTTTTGTTATTCAGAATATGTATTGTAGTACTACTGAGTTTTCGAACGATTGTACATAAGAAAGAAAGAAAGCAAAATAATTTATTTGGTACAACACCAGGCACAAACACAATACAATAAATACAACGCAAACAAAAAATTAGGAGTGAAATAGAAAAATTAAAAAAAAAAACATAAATAGATGTAGATAAGTATATACAAAATTTAAAAAGTTAAATATACCAACAATAATCATGTGCCTGACAGCTGCACCAAAAAAGGTCCAGTTC